TTAAAAATGGAGAAACTGAGGCACAGATGGATGAACACGACTCACCCATCATCACATAGCAAGTCAGCAGTAGAGCCACTGAGGCAGGGGGCAGCTGAGCTGCATTAGCATTACATGGAACGCTGGATGGCCCCGGGATGCAGTATTTATGTTCCTTTAAGTTACCTGCAGTGTTTTGGCTTAGAAGCTGAAGTGTCCCCAGCTGTCCCCTCCCCAGGCCAGGAGAGCAGGTGACTGGTGTGAATGTTCACACATGGTCCTGCTGACACTTGTAGCCTTTGCAGTTTCTCCCCCCTCCCTTGTGAGTTGGGGTCACTTGGTCCATTTTGAATAGTACGTTATCAGTAGGCGTCTTAGGTCACTTCATAGAACCAGCTTCTGCAAATAGCTGGAACAGTTGCTGGGGTGAGCTGAACTCCAGGCTCACTTGCTATGAAAGTATCTATTTTCATACCACTAGAGCAGTGGTTCCCAAACTGGGGTTTGTGAACCCCTGGGGGTTCGTGAAATGTTACAGGGGGTTCTCAGGAAAAAATTCCTGAACAGCGGACAGAGCTGTCCCTAGGGACCCTGGGCAGCACGGGGCCAGCAGCCCGGAGCCCCTGGACCTCCAAGATCTAAGCAGATCAAAGCAAGCATCTCTATCACACTGAGGAGATTTAAACTCCAAAACTCCTTATAAGAAATGGAAAGGGAGGTGGATATTTTTTGCTGTTTTTAAAATGAAATCGGCAGCTAGTATTGTTTTAAAATTATTATGAAGAACAAGTTTAAGCTTTGTTGTAACGTGTGCTGTTTGCCTGGACTGCTCAAGACCTGAATGCTTGTGTAGGAGGAACTCTTTGAGTTGGCTTCTTAAATACCTTCCTGCTGTTTCACATCTGATACTCCTTGATGAAATGTAGGAGCCTTGTCTTATAACAGGCTTATTCAAAGTGATACAAGCTACGAAAGTGAGATCTTGGAAGAGTGTTGCTGTTTTCATAATGTAATACAAATACTGTAATGATAAATAATATTTAAAAATAAATAGTGTGTAATAAGCATGTCATAAAACAAATTTTATATTTCCAAGATCACTGCTTTTATAATTTATACTCAGTTAAAGGAGAAAATCTCTGGAAATAGTCATTTTTAGGAGGGGGTTCGCGAGACTTGACATTTTATTGAAAGGGGTTCACAGGTTGTTAAAGTTTGGGAACCACTGCACTAGAGGCTACCTCAGCCCAGTCAGGCCGCTCTGGTTTCACCCTGCGGATGGAGAGATGCAACGGAGAAGTTCCAACTCAGGCGCTGAGCCAGCTGTGGTCACCAGAGAGTTAAATTCACAAGGGTTCACATAAACCCAAACTCACCAAGGTTTACAAAGCTGAAACAGCCACACATTGTACATTATTTCCACCAGAGGCTATGTGCTACCCTGGTTTATGTAGGGACCCAGGACTGGAAGGAGCCGCCTGGGTCACTGAGTCCAATCTCAGCTATCGCGGGCAATCCCATCTTATCATCCAATTCATATACTGATCAAGTTCCATCTTAAAACAAGTTTGGTTGTTTGCCCCCCCACTGCTACTATTGGGCGGGGGGAGGCTGTTCCAGACCCTGACTCCTCTGATGGTTAGAAACCTTCTAATTGCCAACTTCAATTTATTTGTGGCCAATTTATCCCCATTTGTTCTTGTGCCAACAGTGTCCTTTAGCTTCAATAGCTTTTCTCCCTCCCTGGTGTGTGCGCGCACACACACACACACACACACACACACACACACACACTCTCTCTCTCTCTCTCTCTCAGCTCCCCGCTGAATCTTCAGGTTTGTCAGAATCAGAAGCTGTGCTGTTTGTCTACCTTTTGTGTTTCATTCACCTCAGGCAGAGAAATGAGGCAGGTCAGTTTCACTTTGGTTGTTAGTTTCCCTTCCTGGGTTTCATGCACTACCACAAGGCTGCAATGTTTCCTCTGCAAAGATAGCAGAAGGAAGTTTAAGCCAAAACAAAAATGTTTTATTGTTTTTTTTAAATGGCATCAGATGTCTAATAATACTAGGTTTGGCTAAAAACCTCACTTTGGGGAGCAAGAAGGGGTGGTTGGGCATTATACACAAAACCAGAATTTGTTGCCTAAAGAGTGTTGCTAACTCTCATGATTTTATCATGAATCTCACACTATTTGGTGTTTTCTTTAAAGCCCCAACTCCTGGAATCATGTGATTGTATGAAAATCTCAGCCATTATTTAAAAGAAAAGGCAATGTTCTAGCCCTGGTGCTTGCAGAGAGACCCTGGAAATGTGACACAGATGCATTCTAAAGGCTTGAAAACCAGAAGGAAAATAAAAACCACACCACATGTTTTTTCTTTTAAATCTCGTGATTTTTAAATCTGTCTCGTGATTTCTGAGGCCTCACCCGTGATTTTTGAATGCTTGAGGTTAACAGTGCTGCCTTGCAACTCACTTTGGGCCCCAAATCTAGAGGTCCAAAAACTAAAGTTATAGAAATGTTTTCCTGATATTTTTAACTGGCAGTGACATTGTATTCTGCTTAGCACAGCTAGCATGGGAGGTGCTCGATGGCCAGGAAAAGACAAGGGGCCAAATTCAGTAGTGATGCATAAGGGGGTATAAATTAGAGCCATACACCCTGCCTATTCCGCTAACTCAGCTTCCCAATGGAGCTAATTACAGTGTTCTTGGATGTGCTGGCTGTGTTCTTATATAGCCCACACCTTAGTGTGTGAGCACCTCACAGACAGTAACAACCTTGTACTCACAACACCGCTGCGCAGTGTGGTTACAGTAGACAGACACAGGCAGGGGAGCTGTGACAGCACCAGTCCAGGACCAGGGCGAGTGCTGCTTACCCACCCCCGAGAGCGAGGCGGAGCCATGCTTCGCTGCAAGGAAAGGGAAGTTGTTATCCCCATTATACAGATAGGGGAAGTGAGGCACAGAGAGGCTAACGCCAAGACCCACAAAGGTATTTAGGCTCCCAGTTCCCCTAATTTCAATGGAAGGAAGCCTAAATACCTTTGTGGGTCTGGGCTGCAGTGACTTGCCCAAGGTCTCACACACACAAGCTGTGATGAAGCAGAATTGAATGCCCATTTTCTGAGTCCCAGCCAAGGGTTTTCACCACAAAATCATCCTTGGTAAAGACAGTCTACGCTAGGCAGCCCACCTGAACACGACACGAGAGGGCTGAGCAGCAAGTGAGTACATGAGCTTTTAAAAATATACCGTATCTCTCTATGGTGCTGCTTTCTTCACTTGCTTGTGACCCCTCCAGACCACTTTCCCCATCACGTCTCTCACTTTAGCCTTGCCTAGACTAACAGTGCACTAGAACACAAGGGCTACCACCATTGCTGCGCTGTCCAGAACTAGTGTGACAGTGTGAGGCTTCCTGAAAAACACCAGGGTCTCATGACTTGTCCTCTCTGATCTATTTTAAACCTCCGGAGGGAGGGAGGGAGGGGGCTGGTGCTCGTGAACTCGTTGATGTTAAATGATCTCTGTCCTTATCCTTTGCCATTCAGCTAAGAGTGCAGCCCACGAGGGATATATAAATAAGGAGTCAAGACACTCGGCTCACAGAGGATGGCAAGGAGCGGAGTGCACTCAGCCAGCTGCATCTCTAAGGTAAGGCTAAGCGTTCAGCGGTGCTGTGGGTTATTATGAGTGGGCTGAACCCTGCAGTCCTTGCTCTGCCTCCTCATTCCTCCCCCACTGCCATCAGCATCTAGCTACCTAGGTGCTGGTGCTGCTCTCGTGCCCGGGAGAGTGTTGCCTGCGTGAAGCCTGACTAAGTAAGTGCCCCCGTTTACATCTCAGCAGCCCCACTGCAGAAAGGGCCTGCACCAAAACCCACTGAAGGCAATGGAGAGACGCCCATTGATTTGAAGGGGCTTTTGACCAGGTGCAGGGCAGAGGTTGGCTTAGTGTTTGTGCTGCATGCAGCTCCCTTTCTGTCACCCCCAAACACGGCGCCTCATCCCTCCAAGCACCCAGGGGTGAGAACCTCATGCTGTCTGTCCCGTTTGGAGTGAGTGCATCACTGGCTTTCACCACACCTGCACTAGTCTTCACATCTCACTGCTCCGGCCTGCCGCTGAGAGTCACCAACGCTGAGTCTGCTTCCACCAGTGGGGAATCTGGAGCAGGATTTCTCTGGCTCTCCAGAGAGCTAAGAGCAAGAGTAGTTGCGGTAACCAGGTCAGATGAGGGTGTCCTAGCCTGGGTGGTTATAAAAACAAGCTGGTACTGCCAGTGTGGACGGGGATCTGTTCCCACAAGCAGTCCCATTGGTTTCATAAGAACATAAGAGCGGCCACACTGGATCAGACCAATGGTCCATCTAGTCCAGCATCCTGTCTTCCGACTGTGGCCAATACCAGGTGCTTTAGAGGGAATGAACAGAACAGAGCAATTATTAAGTGATCCAGCCTCCGTTGTCTAGTCCCAGCCTCTGGCAGTCAGAGGCTTAGGGATACCCAGAGCAGGGGGGTGCGTCCTAACCATCTTGGCTTATAGCCATTGACGGACCTATCCTCCAGAAACTTCTCTAATTGTTTTTAGAACCCTGTTGTACTTTTGGCCTTCACAACATCCCCAGGCAACAAGTGCCACAGGTTGACTGTGCATTGTGTGAAGTACTTCCCTATGTTTGTTTTAACCTGCTGCCTGTTAATTTCAACCAGGTGATCCCTGGTTCTTGTGTTACATGAAGGGATAAATAACATGTCCTTATTTACTTTCTTCACACCATTCTTCAATGAGCACCATAGGAAGGGAAAAGGATGGTCCAGTGGTTAGGACACTAGCTGTGGTTTGGGGAGACCTGGATTCAATCCCCTGCTCTGCAACAGACTTCTTGCCTGACCTTGGGTATGTCACCTAGCCTCTCTGTGCCTCAGTTCCCCGTTAGCACAATGGGGTTAATAGCCCTGCCCTGCCTCGCCTCACAGGTATGTTGGGCTGTGAGGATAAATACGATCAAGATTGTGAGGTGCTCAGATACCACAGATACCACATCTGAAGAAGTGAGGTTTTTTACCCACGAAAACTTATGCCCAAATAAATCTGTTAGTCTTTAAGGTGCCACCGGACTCCTTGTTGTTTTTGTGGATACAGACTAACACGGCAATCCCCTGATACCAGATACCATAGGGGCCACAAACATCCCTAAGATCAATAGTATCTGGGACATCATAACTTGTCCAAATCCATCCAGTGTGTAGGTAGCTGAGTTGGAAAATACCAAAGGACACTCCCCCCGAATGCAGAGCTAAGTGATGATCAGCCATTGTTAATAAATAAATAAATAAATGGGTGTCAAATATTTTCTTTCCTTGTCCATCTATTATCCATTTGACTGAGATCCAGAGATGCATTACATATATTTTAGGGCTGCCAGTTAACTACAATTAACTCAAGCGATTAACTCAAAATAAATTAACTTGATTTAAAAAATTAATCACAATTAAAAGCATTAATCACAATTAATCAGTTTTAATCACACTGTTAAACAATCATAGAATACCAATTTACATTTTTATAAATATTTTTGGTTGTTTTTCTACATTTTCAAATATATTGATTTCAATTCCAACACAGAATACAAAGTGTACAGTGCTCACTTTATATTATTTTTAATTACAAATATTTATACTGTAAAAAAGATAAACAAAAGATATAATATTTTTCAGTTCACCTCATACAAGTATGAAATCATGAAAGTTGAACTTACAAATGTAGAATTTTTTTTGTTATATAACTGCACTCAAACCTAATGTAAAACTTCAGAGCCTACAATTCCACTCAGTCCTACTTCTTGTTCTGCCAATCACTAAGACACACAAGTTTGTTTACATTTATGGGAGATAATGCTGCCCACTTCTGATTTACAATGTCACCTAAAAGTGAGAACAGATATTCACGTGGCACTTTTGTAGCTGGCGTTGCAAGATATTTACGTGCCAGACCAGATATGCTAATTATTCGTACGCCCCTTCTTGCTTCGGCCACCATTCCATTCTGTACACTTTGTATTCTGCGTTGTAATTGAAATCAATATATTTGAAAATGTAGAAAACATCCAAAAATATTTAAATAAATGGTATCCTATTATTGTTTAACTGCCATTAAAAACTGCCATTAAACTGCCATTAATCGTGATTTTTTTAATTTCACAATTGATCTTTTTAATCGTTTAACAGCCCTGATATATTTACAGCTTCATTCGTCTCTTCCAAGGAGAATATCACTGCCGTCCATCGTTTGCTGATTCAACGCTGCTTCCAGAGGAGAATCTATTTGCTGAACTGTGATTCCTGCTAACCCAGGGAAGCAATGGTCGGACTGAAGCCCACTGACATCCCTCCAACTGCTACTGTTAAGTTCCTGGGTGCTGGGATGGCAGCATGCATAGCAGATCTCTGCACCTTCCCTCTGGACACGGCGAAAGTCAGACTGCAGGTAAATGTCCTTGTTGGTATTCCTATAGTACAAGGATACCGGGACTCAGCTGTGTCAGGTACAATGTATAGACACGTAGTGGGAGACGGTCCCTGCTCCAATGTGACAACAGTCGAAATAGTCAAGACAAAGAGTTTTGTTCAGAATCATGTAGCAGGTCAGCCGCAGAGCTGGGCACAGAATCGAGCGCTTCCAAGTCCCAATCCTCAGACCCACGTGGTCTCTCAAATTGAGTGAAAGGCATTTTAGATTAAATCATTGGACAAATCCAGCACTTGCTGAGAAACAGACTAGGTCTTTTTGCCTCCCATCGGTTAACTTTAAGGGTCAATCCAACTCCCATTAAAAGTTAATGTAAAGACATCAGCGGGAGTTGGAGCAGGCTCTAACATACCTGGTTTGATTTCAGATGATGTTTGTTGTGTACCCTGCAGATCTGCGGGTTCCTAGAGATGTCTCAGTAGTATTCTTCTCAGCAAGTCCAGGTTGTTTTTTTGCTGGAATGTGAATAACGGAAATCAGGCATCACTTTTTTTTACAGACACGACTTGATTATAGTTCTGAGTGAAATCCACACCATGCAGAGCCCCCAGCACAAGAGTGAGGGACCACTTAAGAGGCCAGAACCTCAGCTGGGGTAAACTGTCACTTGGAAGTCAACGAGGCTCTGAGAGTTTACCCCCGCTGAGGATCTGCCCCGAGCCCTCAAAGTGGATCTGAAATGGTACCTAGGCCTTGTGCTGACCCCCTGCACCAGGATAAATCTCATCCTCTTTGCATTGATACTGGAGAGCATTTTCTATCTGATCTCAAAGCACTTTACGAACATGAATGAATTTAGCCTCCCACCATCGTTCTGGCCAAATCCCATCATTGATAATTACATCTAGGCTACTTAGCTGCTCCACCATTTTCAGCTGGATACGGTAGAGTCCTCTTCAGTTCCTGACTTGATTTGCCCTGTAATGTTGCAGTAGACTGATAAACAGCTGCCACACTCTACCCCAGAGATGGCTGCATTTCAGTGGTGAGCAAAGAGATGAAGACGGTATATTGCTTGCACAGTCCTTGGGTATCCAGCTGGATGGAAGCTGATGTGTAAATGTATGACAATTATCGCCTTGCAACTAGTTCACTGATCAGAACCCCAGCTGCAGGTGGACTGCACATAGAAATGACAATTTAATACCTTCCTAGCTCTAGGGTGACCAGATACCAAAGATGAAATATCGGGACGCCGGGGGGGGGGGAGGCGGAGCAAAAAAAAAAAAGCTGCCAGAGCCCGCCCCGCCCAACCCTCTGGAGCCGCTGGCTGCCCCCCGGCTCTGCAATCAGAGATGCAGCGCTCG